TGGATCTATTCCTGTCTCGTGATCTGCTTCTATCGTAGGATCTAGAATAGTTTTTATCTCGGCTTCTAGACCTATTAGTCACAGAGAAGAGGTAGAAAGCAAGAAAGGCTACCAACTTCTGAAAGGGTAAGTAAATTTATTATTATATAAAAAAAGCCATTAAAAAAATTATATTAATATTTAATTAATAAAATTTTTATTAATATATTATTTAGATGCCTAAAAGAAATATAAGGGGCCAAAGAACAACAATGGCTTTAACAGTACAACAACCAATATCTTTAAGTCATTCAGAACCTATTGTAATAGGTAAAAATGATTCTCAAGAAGAAACATCAGGGTCATGTGCTCAAGTTGCAGAAAATCTGCCAGCAGAAATCTTGACTCCAATTACATCAACCTCAAGACACATTTGAAGTACCTCCAATACAAGTCGCAGAACAAACTGAACATTTTATAGACGTAGACCTTGCTGCTATTCCAGGAGTGTATATTGAAGAACATTATTTACAACGAGAAGTAACTGTATACCAAGAAGAATCTATCGAAAAAGAAGCAGAAAGCTCAGATAGTACAGTTCAAGATATCTTTACCCCAACCGAAACTTTCGAACTATGAGACTTACCAGAAGACAACTTACCACCTCTCGAACAATGAGAAGATAATCTACCCCACCAGAGCAACAGAATAATAACTTACCACTACCAGAACAACCAGAGAACAACCTACCACTTTTACAACAACCTCCACAACAACCACCTGTCACACCTCCTACAAACATAGGTGACCAAGCTTTAAATGCTGCTGCTACTGCAATAACCCAGTTGGCGAACGCCTTAACTTCAGACAGTGAAAAGTCCCTTATGAAAATTGACTTCTTTACTGGTAACAGAAGCCAAGACCCAGTAGAATAGTTAGAAGAATTCGAACGAGCTGCTATTGCTAACAATTGGTCAGCTGCTCGACAACTTGCCCTTGCTCCTGCCTATTTAAAAAAAATTGCAGCTGAATGGTTTCAAGATCTCAACCCACTCCCAATGCTTTCAATAATAATGCTAGTCAAGCTCGAAGTTTCTACCATCTTTTTAAAACCCAATTTAGCACCACCAAACAAAAGATTAAGTGGCAAAAATGACTCTTCGAAATCAAACAAGAAACAGATACTATTGATGCTTACATAACTTGCTTCAAGAAATTACAAGCCAGAGTAGACCCTGCTAATGGTTTCCCGATACTTTTATTCTCCAACTCTTCATCCAAGGACTCAGACCTGAGTATACTATTAGAGTAAAACTAGAGCCCCTGCTGATTTAGATGCTGCTATAGCTACCACTTGTAATTAGAAAAATGGCAAACTCATCTCTTCTCCTATAACAGATACAGACCAAGCAATCAAACAACTAACCAAACAGATTGCTTAACTTAGCATCAATCTTGCTCAACAAAAGCCTGCTCCAAACGCTATAAACTATGCTGAAAGCCCTATCACTGCACCCAGAATCAGACAACCACCCACCTGCCACTATTGTGGATGCACAGAACACTTTATTGCTCAATACTGTGCTAAACAAAGAAACCAAGAACGACCATGAGACCAAAGCCAAGATTGTTATAATAATAATCACAGTTATAATAGGTCTAGAAGCCGAGATAAAAACTATTCTAGATCCTACGATAGAAGCAGATCACGAGACAGGAATAGATCCA